ACCTCCGTTTCCTCAGGGCTGACTTTGTGGCTGTCTCCTTACAGCTGTTCTGGATAACGAACGGATGACAGCCGAAGAGATGGATGAAAGGCGGCGTCAGAATGTGGCCTATGAATATCTGTGCCACCTGGAGGAAGCCAAAAGGTCAGCCGGCCGTCCTCGTCGTCCTGTGGGTGGGTGCGGGGTCTGCGCATGACCCGGTCGGGGCTCAAACGTGAGGACCAAGCCCCGTCGGAAACGGCCTTCCTTGGTGGTACCTCTGAGCCCTGGTGCTACAACAACGGGTGACAAAACCAAAGTGAGATTCACCCAGTTTTTCAGGTTTTAATTTTTAGATGGCTTATTTGGTGAAATGACACACAAAAGTTAAGTTAACATAGTTTATTGCTGGTTTGGACAAAATTGGACTTTTGGCACAGAGTTATGTGGTAGAGCATTTGGAAGTTACCAAAAATGATTCCAGTGTGAAAAACAACAAAAACGTTGAGTTTTAATGCAGAAACATCAGATGAGGTGAAAGGTAAATCAGAGGATGGTTCCGCCAGAGAGGTTCCTCTTCCCCCAAGGATTTGGAGTCACACAGTATTTGTTTACTGTTTACTTTCATGCTGTGCATCACCCAAGTCGCCCTTCTGGCTTGCTGTGATGCTAATAGAGTTTTCTTCTCTCCCCGCCCACATGGACAGTGATTTGAACCTGGTTCTCCTGAGCCCCAGTTCATCACTCTGTTTGCTAAACCCTGCTGGATTTCATTTATTGGCTTTACAGTCCCAGCTTTCTCCCCAAAATGGACTGGGGGGGAGGGAGGGACACAACATGGCTGCACTCCTAGGTGAGCCAGCTGGGGGTGTTTGTGTAGGCCGGCTGCCCTTCCCCTGGCTTCCTGGAGCTGCCTGGTCTAGACATGGAGACACAGGCCTCAGGAACAACCACTGGGTCCCTTGTGACACACTCTCTGCTTGGGAAGTGCCGAGAAAGGCCTGCTGCTCTCCGGTGCTGGGGCTGAACGGCGCACCGGGGTGGGTGAGATGGTAAGGGCGACTTTCTTCTTAGAACCGCTTTACTGGCTGCCCATCTGTTCTGACATGGCGACGTGGTACCTTGAAGAATTTAGGAAGGAAGGCTTGCACGTGCTTGTTGGGATGTTGGAGGGCGTGCCGGGCGAGAGGTCTCTGAGAAGATCTTTTGTTTTATTTTCCTTAACTTTGCGACAAATGTGCTTTTGTGGAGAGTTTGGTTAAGATAAGGGTTGCCCGCATAGGTTTCAAAATCTAAGCAAGCTTTTATGGGTGAATGTGTGTGTGTGTTTTTTTTTTTTTTCCAACAGCATAGTCTAAATTTAGCTACCGTGGATTCTTTGGAACACCCAGATTGAGAAATGTTTTTCAATGATTTAGAACACATGAGCAAAATCTAAATTTAGGTCTTTAGATGAAGCTAAATCCTCATTTGACAGAAGGAACCCTGCAGCCAACAAACCATGATTTGCTAAGCAGCCAGTGGCCGGGAAATGGGCGGAACCGCGCCGGCTTTTTGGGATTCAGTGGGTGCAGCTGAGGAGTGCGGGTTGTGCAAGTTTGATATTGGTGCGTGTGGTGCCCTTGAGGGGATCGGGGCAACTTAGTGAAGCGGGTGCTATTCTGGTGCTGCCCTTCTCCCCCCCCCCCGGCCTTCCTTGCAGCTGCGCTTTCAGCCCTTTCTGGGTTTCTTGCATCAGCAGAACCGGAGATGGAAAGGCTGCTGGAGGGCCTTTCCTGGCACTCCTGTGAATGGCAGAGCTCAGTACCAGGGAGAGGGAGGTGTACGTTGTGTGAATTATGGCAGGCCAGTTGGAAAGGGTGCCTGGTCCTCCTCCATGGGCACGTGGGGTGCCGTCATCAGGGGTTCCTGACCAGGCGCTGTCGTGTCCTGCAGCTGCCGCTGCTGCTGCTGCTGCTGGAGTGGCATCGTGGAGGTTGACTTCCTCCTTTGTGAAGGGACCTTGGAGGGGAAAGGCTGAGGGCTCACACCCTTGGGTGGGGCACCGCTGGATTGGCTCCACACACGGCAGCTTTTTCCGGTGCCAAGAGGGGTGTGCTCTTGGCCGCCCGTCTGTTCCGCCTCTGGGCCTCCCCGTACTCTGCTTCCCACTGCAGCCGCCGCCGCCCCGCCTGGGTTTGGGTCTCCTTTTCATGGGCACCCGGTTTCATGATGGCCTTCCCTCCCTCCCTCCCTCCCTCCCTTTTGCTTTCTTTGCTTCCTTATTTGACAGAGCTATAGACTCAAGAGTGAGATGAGGAAGTGACTAATTTTTTCCTCCTGCCTTTTCATGCCGTTTGTTTCTCTGAGTTACACAGCCTTGCTGTTGTTTCTCTACTTTGTAAAGATGAGTTTCCTACGAAGGGTTTGGCTTGAGTCTGGTTCTCCATCCTTGGTTACTCTTGGAATATTTTAGGCCTGTTGACTCATTCAGTGTAGAATAAGGCGCTTTTTATTTTCGGTTCTTTCTCAGTCTTTGTCTTTGGGACCTAGTTGTCTGAGACATGTGCATCCCACAGAAGTTGCTTAGGAGCAGTTAAGAAGATGTTGATTAGAAAGTGTTGGTGCATATACCAGAGACACCACGAGCAGTTTGGCAGGTTCTCACGAGTTGGTGTCAAAGAGTGGACAGGCTGGCAAGGTGTGGAATGAAGGTGGGAGTCCTGAAGCTTGGGTGGCTCTCCATGGACGTTACGGAAGATGATGTCATTTGCATATTATGGAAAGAACTGTTGCTGTTTATCAGATTGGTAATCGGGTTAGAAATCTTCATCCCTGACAAAGAATAGTTTGTCTTGAGTAACCAGCCTGCTTGGAAGTGGGTGTTTAGTCTGTTTATGGATAGCATTAACTTGTTCACTTTTTTTAAAATTGCCTAATACTCTTTGTACTGTAGCTTCTTCCACTCCTGTTCATATTGTGGTTTCTGGAAAATTAATAGAACAGGCATTATAAATAACAGGAAAAACGTTGGCTTCTTGTAGCTTGCTGCATGCAAAGGAGGTGTTCTATGTCCGACCTCTACGAGTGAAGCAGGCCCGTTTTGAAACAAGCACCTGTTTTGTATCCCTTGTGATTATGCAACAACAAAGTCAAAACTTCCTCTTTTGCTACTGTAATGAGATTCAGTTAGGCCTTTGGGGCCATATGCTATGTTCAAGATGCCTGGTATGGATATATACCCATGCTGGGGTGGGTGGGGGCACAGGAAAGCTTGTAATGGATAAATGGAAATAGATACGAGGTGGCAGCTTTAGTTTGGGAATGTTCAAATTCCCAAAATGTTCCTAATACTGTATTGGGACGATATTAGGAGCACATTGTGTGTGAGCAGAAGAGCTGTTAGCAAGGAGGCGAGGTTGTCGCTATAGGGCTCCTTCTGCAGTTCAGGGCTGCTCAAGAGCCTCTCCCAAGGGTGAGAGGTGGGGCCTCTATTTCGTCCTGAATAAGAGAATCGGACAGATGATCTGCACTGTGGATGAAGGTTCTTTTGCCCTTAAGCTGGCGAGTGCCCCCCCCCCCAGTTCCTGGACTGAGAAGATAGAAAAGGGAGCAGTGTTTTGAACTGTGCCTGTGTTGTTTAGAGTGCTTCCCCCCCCCCAGGTTTTTTCTTTTTTTACACAGATTTTTTGGTGCTGTGGTTGTTGCACTTCTGGAACCAAGTTCTAAATTGGTTGTCGTTGTGAAATCCTCCCTTGGTAGCTTATTGCACTAGGCATTTTCACAAAACGTGGGAATGCCTGGCCTTTTAGTCATCTGGGCTGTCTTTGAAGAGCCGGTTCCACTCCTCTGTTTTCTTGGGCTGGGCTTGGCTGGGCTGGGGATATTTTGTCCTTTTTCGCTGCTTTGTTATGAGTAGACAGATCAGGGTGCAGAGTGGGTACTGTGAAAAAGTGTCCGCGTTGCCCACGGCCACTGCTGTGTGAGCGTCCCAGGTGAGGAGGCCTGGATTGAGGTCCTGAGGGTGCTGTGGTGGCTTCAGCTGGGGCTGACAGGATGCTCCTTGTTCAGAGACAGATCAGCCGGCCTCTGTCGGCTGAGACTCGAGTCCCACCTTCGCTCCCATGCCCTGTTTATCTGGATGGTTCCCCTCCAAGGCCAGGAGGGGAGGGGAGGGGAGGGGAGGGGGGACACCAGGGAGAGGTGCCTGCCTGCCTGCCTGCCAGCATCTGGGCTGGCGGACGCTGTGCGCACAGTCCCCTCAGCACTAGTCAAGCCCTCTTCTGCCTGCTGTGTTGAGGGAGTTGGAGAGCGAATGCCCTTGGCCTGCAAGGGAAGACAAAGGCAGGCTTGTCCCTCCAGCCAGAACCAGCCAGTCTGGTTAGATGGGAAATGGTTACTGATTTCAACCAAAGCAAAAAGAAGAAGAAGAAGAAGTCCTTGGGGGCTCTCCAAAATCTAGGTGAGAAGCTGTGGTGGCATTGGGGAACCCGTTCCCCTCCCCACCCTCCAAATGCGAGAGGTTAGGGGGTTGCTTCCTGCTTCTCTGCTAGTGGTGCAAAGGCCTCCTTGCAATAGAACTGGGGTGGGGGTGGGGGCTGGAGTGGCTCCCTTGAGCAAGCAGCCAGCCTGGAGGGGAGTCCTCCCTCGGGCGGCAGGCCTGCCCTGGGCTGCCCCCGCTTTCCCCCTCACAAAGGGCCCCTGATGTGGCGGAGGAACCAGCCTGGCCCATTCCACTGGGTTTCTCTCGGCTCTCATGCCAGTGGGTGGGCTGGGGGGGGGGAAGCACAGGCAGGGAGCTGGCAGCCTCTGGCACCTTCTTCTTACTAAGGACCACCTATTTTTTCTGCCCACGGAATCTGAGTGCCTAAGGAATAACTGGCCAGTGTGCATGGGCTCCTAGGCACCCGGGATCTAGGGGGCTTCAATTAGTAGCAAATGAGAGAGAGAGAGAAGGACGGTTGGATGGACGGTTGTGCCCCTTGTTATCCCCTCAACACTTGGAGGGCAACGATACCCAGGGCCCCTCTTCCTTCATGCCGTAGTCCGACCGTCCGTGGTTCTCCTGCTGCTGCTGCTGCTGCTGCTGGGAAAGGGGCTCCGTCTGGACCTGCAGCAGCCAAGCCTGGCATCATGTGCTTGGGTGGAGGCTCGCCAGGTGTGGAGCGCTGCTGCTGCTGCTGCTGCTGCCAGAATCCTCCCCCGTCGTGAGCAAGCCCAGGCCCCAGTGGGAATGTTCCCCTCTAACGGCTGCTTTCCTGCCAGGACGCTCAGGCTCCTCTGGGGGGGGAGGGGGGTTGTTGCTGTGACTGGCACAGAGGCAGGATCGGAGGGGGGGGCAGGTGCTGGCCCTTCCCTTGCCCCTTCTAGGGGGCAGGAGGCGGATGGTCCCTGGGAGTGGTTGGCGGTGGCCAGATCCGGGGACTGACGGGTTTGGCTGCCCTCTTGCGTGGACAGGACAGTGGATGGGGCGTGTCCAGCCCTCACATGCTGAGGGCGGTGGAAGAGGGGGGGGGTGTGTGTGTGTGTGTGTGTGTGTGTGTTGCAGGAGGAGGTGGCTCCTTCGTTCGTGGGAACACGAGGAGTGGTGAGGCTGACCAGCCTGCCTGGCTGCCTTGGCGAGTGCCAGGGGGCTTCTCCCCCCCCCAGGGCCTCACCAGAGGGTTGGCAGCTGCGCCATGTGCCAAGTGTCAGGCGCGCTTCCTCTGAGTGGTTGGTTCAGGCACAGCAGAGTTTCAACATTTTTGTAGCAGAGGAAATGGTGCTGCTCTCTCTCTCTCTCTCTCTCTCTCTCTTGCCTGAGGAATATAAAAACGAGCTTTGGGGAGCGAAGTGGGGGGCACAGGAGTGGAGGCGATGCCCCAAGACCCTACTTGGGAGAGCTTGCAGGAGAAGAGCAGCATCACTTCTAGAAATCTGGCTGGGGAGCAGAGGACCGCCTTTGCCTTTTCCCTCCTCAGGGCTATCATCCTTCCAGGGACGGGTGATCTGTCTTCTTTTGGGGCCACCAGGCAGTCTTGCCAGCTTCTTCCTTCCTCCCCCTTGCCCAGCCCTGGGTTGGACTGACGTTTTTTTGAGGTGGGAAAGTCAGGGAAGGAGGAGGGCCAAACAGGTCGGGCCGGTTTCCCTCCTTGAGAGCAGAGGGAGGGGCTCGCCACTCCCTTCCTCCTCCTCCTCCTCTTCCTCCTCCTCCTTGCTTTCTGCCTGCAGCGGCTGCTCGGGATTGACTAGGTTTTGATCTGAGGGTGGGTTGGTTCCTCCTGCGGATGAGTCATCTTATACACCAAGGCAGAGAAAGCCAAACCGTCAGCAGCCGCCCTCTGGAGCCCTTGATCAGGGCAAGCAGCCGCTCAGGACTTTGCAGAAGTGGGCGTCTCTCTGGTGGGGGCTGTTGGCAGTGTAGTTTTGTCCGTTCCTTTGGGCTGCAGTCATGGGCAGGCAGCCCTTGGCCAGTTGCTGGTGGAGCACCGGAGATGCTCACGGGGCATTTTGAGGCCCTCCCTCAGGCCATCTGGGAAATCCCAGTGGTCGGTCAGGTTGGGATGATTGGTGCTCCAGAGGGAGCCCCTGAGGTACAAGGCCACAGACTTGCTGGGAGGGGGGGGGGCTCCAGACAACTGGGGTGTCTTCTTTGCCTCCATTTCAGGCAGCTCATAGGGGGCACTTTGTTCTAGTGCCCCCAAGACACACGCACACAGACAGACCCACCCCTTTGGGAGCCCATCTGGCATTTAGATCTGCTGCCAGCCTCACGGCCGGCCGGCTGCAGCCCCTCTGGCTCGGGCGCTGAGCTTTCCTCGCGTTTTGCTCTGTGGCTCAGTCCAGCTGCGCAGGCAAGAATGGCCCAGGGCCTCTGGGTGGGGCCTTCGCTGATGTCATGTTTTAAATTTGGTAAAATAACGTTCCTAGTCAGTCCTGTGCTGGAAAGTTCCCTGAAGAAAGGAGTGAGGGGGGGGAGAGGAAGGGGCTGGGACGGAGCAGCGCTCCCGCTCTCCCGCTCTCCCGCTCTCCCTCCCTCTCTCTCTCTCTCCCCCTCTCTCTTGCTCAGTCTCTCTTTCCCCTGTTTGGGCCAAAGCCTCTGACTAACCTGGCTGAGCACCTGAGAAGCTTCTTGACCGTCCTGGGCCTGGACTCCCTTTTCCATGGAAGGCCGGGGGGGGGGCAGAGCATCAAGGAGGACAAAGGACAGTCCTTTGGCCTTGAGCTGGCAGTGTGATGGCTGTGTGGATGGATGGGTGGAAGACACACCAGCCCTGATCCTCCATTTGCCTCTGCTCTGTGTTATTGCACCCAGGGCTTCCGCCTTCTTCTTAAAACAAGAGAACTGGGCAAAAGAGGAGAGTCGCCCAGGCCCTATCTGGTTGCTGGCATCGGGTGCTTTCTCTCTGGAAACCTCCACCCACCCACCCATTTTACTTTTAGGCACCACCAGCTTCCCAAGGCGTTTGCAGCCTCCAGAAAACTCACCTCTAGAAGGGAAGGGGCTGCCAGCAGGTTCTTTCCATGGTTTGGCAACAGAAGGAGCCAAAGTGGGAGGGGGGGGAAGAGAGCTGCTATGCCAGTTGGGGCAGGGAGGTTGTTTTCTAGTCGTTGCCCCCCTCCCATATTTGCCAGGAGAGCGCAGAGGGCAGGGCAGGAAAAGCACTCGGGGGGGGGGCTTTTCAAGGCACTGGAGGGTGGCGGGGAGGCAGCCGCACAGCCTTTCCAGTCTTGGCCTCCTCCACTCAGCCTGTTTCCTGCTGGCCAGGGTCAGAGCAGTGGGTGGCTGGGCGCTGGGAGGAGAGAGGGAACCCCTGGCCTGCCAGCCGGAGCCAGAAGCCCCCCCCCCACCAGTGCTGCAGGTTGGCTGTAAAATGCTCTCCTCCAAGGGTCCTGGTGGTTTGGCTTCGGCTCCTTGGGTGGAGCGACCGGGTACCTGACTGGAAAGTCCACCAGGAGGGAGGGAGCCCCTGGCCTGCCAGCCGGAGCCAGAAGCCCCCCCCCACCAGTGCTGCAGGTTGGCTGTAAAATGCTCTCCTCCAAGGGTCCTGGTGGTTTGGCTTCGGCTCCTTGGGTGGAGCGACCGGGTACCTGACTGGAAAGTCCACCATATAGGATACTTTTCTCAGGTGGTTGTTGAAGGATCTGCCTTAAAAAGAAGAAGAAAGAGGCCCGGGTTGGGCTGGAGGGAGGCCTGCTCTCTCTCCCCCCCCCCCCGCGCGGACGCGCGCCGCTCCCACCCCCCCCTGCCTGCTCGGCTCTTGTCTCCCCCTCCACCCCCACTCCGGGGCTTCCGGAGCTGCTGTGTGGCATTTCCTCCAGAGGCTTGGTTTGCCTCCTGCAGTCAAGAGGAAGTGGTGTCTGCCAGGAGGAGGTTCCTCCTGTTCCTCCTGCTGATGTCTGGGCCAAGGGAAGAGCAACACCCCAAGCAGGCCAACCTCCGGAGAAGGAATTAGGGAAGAAAAACACCACTGTGGAGAAGTCAGGGCAGCACACAAAGAAGGCCCTGCGGAGGACTCCCCCCCCAGCCCCCCCCCAGCTGAAGGACTTCAGCCGTTCAGTCGAAGGCTCTCCAGGTCTAAAACACCCGCCCGCCTTCTCGTAAACCAACCCACCGGGACCGTTTGCCTTTCCGGACCAAGGCCCCTTTCCTTTGCCCTGGCCGTCCGCTTCGGGGCTGGCACCTCTCCTCTTCTTGGGAAGGCTCTTCTGCTGCTGCATTTTTATAGTTGTGCTGTGTTGTGAGAAGTTCTTACCGAAGCAGGTAGATGGACGTCCTTGAGCACATTTAGTAACTCGAGGCTCCAATTCCATTGCGGGCACTTCCTCCTCTTACGTTCGCTCTCTCTTTTCAGGTGGATGGAGGCCTGCCTTAACGAGGATCTGCCCCCCACGACCGAGCTGGAGGAGGGGCTCAGGAATGGGGTCTACTTGGCAAAACTTGGAAACTTCTTCTCTCCCAAAGTGGTGTCGCTCAAGAAGATCTATGACCGAGAGCAAACGAGATATAAGGTGGGTGGGTGACATTTCCCTCTGCAGGGATCCCAAAACACTTGGAGAGTTGAGAGAGAGAGAGAGAGAGAGAGAGAGAGAGAGAGAGAGCGAGCGTCCCGGGGAGGGGGATAGAGAAAAGTATCCCGGGTGGGAGGGGTGACATTATGCTTGCGGAAAAATTTTAACCGGGATCATCTATGAAAGGTGGCTTCAGCTGCCAACTCCAAGGATTCATTTTTTCATTCAAAATTTTGAAATTCCGCTGTTCAACGGACCTTAATTGACCCTGCCCAGCAGCTTTCAGTAAGGAAATTTCGAAGAGGTTGCTGTGTTAATTTATTTTCAACTTCCATAATGGGGGGGGGGGGAAGCAGAAACAAAAACATGAGGAATGTAACATCTTTAAGATTAATACCTCTCTTTCAGTGTGAGTTTTTGTGGAAGACAATCCAGTTCCTCAAACAAAATGGATACTGTAATCCAGGAAAGCTCATATTTTGAAACAAGTGTTTCATGCTTAAATGGGCCTCTGTTTTTGTTTTGGCGGTAGGTAGTATGACTAGGAAAGAAGGAATCATAGACACCAGTTTGCAGGATCCTGAGAGCCTCGTCTCGGCACTCTTAGGGCTCAGAGAGAGCAGCTTTGGTTGGCAAAACCATGACCTTGGTTCTCTCCAACTCCTGGTTCATAGACAAAGGTGACCCATGCCAGCGCCCACCTGATTCTCGGTGCTGTGTCATGTTCCCCTTTTCTTCTCTATTAAAAAAGGCTGCATGGTCATGGAAACAGCACAGATACAGGAGCAAGCGATACCTTTAGTTGACCATTCAGAATATAAAACAAACAAGAAAACAGAAAACAAAATGCAAACAGCAAGCTTTCGATGACAAAACAACATCTTCAAGGCTGGGCATCATGTTTTTGTGGATAGTTCCAACTTACATGGTTATTAATGTCCCAAATCTACATGGCTGATGGTTGAAGAATGATGTTGGCTAAGGGAGTTCAGAATGCCCAGGAACGTGACCTGCCTCTAACCAGAGTTGGGACTGGGAATGTTATGAGATGCCCAGGAATCATCTTTTCTGTGTTTCAGGCCACAGGCCTCCACTTCCGGCATACAGACAATGTGATCCAGTGGCTGAATGCCATGGCTGAAATCGGGCTTCCCAAGGTAGGAACGTTTGCCTGTAGGTGGGAGGGAGACCGCTTCTTTCTGCTCATGCCTGGGATCTTGTCGCTCATATAGAGGTTCTGGGTCGAGCTTGCCAAAGAGCCGGGAAAACCTCCGCCACCCCACCCCCTTCAGTGCCGTGAGACTCCAAAGGCCGGCCTCATCTCCTGTCTGGGAATCTTTGGCTCCCAAATGTTCCCCTGGTCATTGCCAAGAGTTCTGTGAAATAATACTCGGTGGCTGAAAAGGCGGTGCAGATTTATGTGAATGAGCATTATGGGCTGGAGGCTGGGTGGATGGTTATCTCAGGGAGGGCGGAAGTGGCCGACGGAGTGCTTGGCCCTCTCAGATTTCCTGACCCTTTTGTGGTTTGGGGATGGGGATGGGCTGGCTTCCTTGGTGAGCCAGGGAGATTCTTCTGCCCATGTCTGCCCCAGCTGTTCCCCCAAGAGGTAAGGAGTGACTCAGGGCAAAGGGAAGGGAGCTTGCTGAACGCGGTTGCCCTCTGCGAGTTTTGGTAGGGAATCTGGGTGCATTGTTTGTTTCTTCTGCCTTCAGATTTTTTACCCAGAAACCACAGACATCTATGATCGCAAGAACATGCCTCGTTGCATTTACTGTATCCATGCACTCAGGTAAGGGAACCCTTTTTTTTAAAAAAAGGACTTGTGTATCACTTTCCAAGTGAACCTGTAGACCTTTTAAAATAAGACATTACGAAATGATATTGCAGGCCTGAAGGATAGAAGGCTGCCTGACCGTTTCCTTTTCTTCTCCTCAGTCTGTACCTTTTCAAGTTGGGATTGGCCCCACAGATCCAGGACCTGTACGGCAAAGTGGATTTCACAGGTGAGGGGGACTGACCAGGAGGAGAAACAGCCGGCTGGAATTTCTGTGCCTGTTTTTGTTTCTTGCCAAAAAGCAAAGCCTGGGTTAGAACGAACCCTGCCTCAGCGGAACAAGGGCCTTCCTGGGGTTTTTTTCCCCTCTCTCTAGGAGTCATGATCGAGTCCCCTGGAGAGCACCTAATGCTCGGTCACTGGAGCCAAAGGGCCGTTCTCACCCTCTTGATCTCTTTGCCCTCTTTCAGAGGAAGAAATCAGCAACATGAGGCTTGAGCTGGAAAAATATGGGATCCAGATGCCGGCATTCAGCAAGATTGGTGGGATTCTGGCCAATGAGCTCTCTGTGGATGAAGCCGCATGTAAGTGCCAGTGACATTCCCTCCTCTCTGTCTGGGCTGTTTATCAAATGTGCATAGACCTATTGCAGTTTTGATTGTGTTTTTGATTTTTGTATAATTATAATGTCTGATGTGTTTGTTTTTTACCTACTAGTGCTCTTGTTTTATCTTTTATTTATTGTTTGTTTCTTTGATTACAGTGTATTGTAAACCGCCCAGAGTGGCCTTGCAGCTAGATGGGTGGTATAAAAGATGAATGAATGAATGAATGAATGAATGAATGAATGAATGAATGAATGAATGAATGAATAAATAAATAAATAAATAAAAGCAGCTTACTCAACAGTTGGCTCACCAGTTTTAATTGTGCAAGTCCACTTCTGGTCACTACCAAGAATTGGGCATCCAGGCTTAGCGAGGAATCCAGAAGGACATCCAGGTGACATGACTCAGTTGTAGGGGGCGTTTTAGCCCTATCCAGCACAGGCTGAATTCCTCTTCCCTTGTTGTCCCGAGCAGAATGAAACAGAAAATAGGGTATATGGACAGCAGTAAAAGCAGCAGAGGTTTTCAATCAGGCAGCAAAGCTGTTATTTGCCCCTTGATGGGTTTATGGCTGCTTTGGCCCCTAAAGCAGTGGTCCCCAACCAGATGTCTTTGGACTACAACTCCCAGAAACCTTCATCACCACCTCTGCTAGCCAGGATTTCTGGGAGTTGAAGTCCAAGAACATCTGGGGGCCCGAGGTTGGGGACCACCACTCTATAGGATTTTTGCCCTCTGCAAAGGCTAGAGCAGGTGGCTCTTCCATGTGTGTGGCTCTGCCAGATGTGTGCCTCCAGGGCAGTGGACGACGTCCTGAATGTGTGCCTTTGTCCTCTTTCTTACAGTGCATGCAGCTGTCATTGCCATCAACGATGCTGTTGAGCGCCAGATTCCGGCTGAGACTTTTGCCGCTATGAGGAACCCCAATGCTATGCTGGTGAACCTGGAGGAGACCCTGGCCCCAGACTACCAGGGCACTCTGTACCAAGCCAAGCAGGAGAAGACTGCAAACGCCCGAAACAGGGTAGGGGCTCCCTCCTCCTTCCCAGGAGAAAGTAGCTAGACCCATGGCCAGAAAGAGAGGCGATCATGCTGGGTGCAGCCAGCATGTCCCAGAGTCCTCTCTCTGTCTCTTAGAGCTGAAGAATGGGATGAAGAGGGATGCCCAGCCCAGGAGGCCCCGGAACCCGTTCCGTGCAGAAGGAGATGCCTCTTCTTCCCATGTTCTTCTTCTGGGCCCTTTAGGAAGAGAGAGCAGCCATTCTTGCAGAACAGCTGTCTGCTGCTCTTGGCATGCTGACTGTGCCTTTTTTTTACTTATTAAGCAATGGTGTTTGTATAGGAGTAAGGACCTGCATCAACCAATTAAAAGAGAGTCTCTTTTTTCATATGAAGCTCAAAGCTTCTAGGTAAACATAGCCAGTGTCATGGTGAAGAGGCGAACTAAATAGTGGGGGATTGTGGTGCTGTTCTATTACTGCAAGCAGTGGGAGGCTGATCTGAGCAAACTGGAGTTTAGGCACGGATGGGTCAAACGTGGCTCCCTCCTCCTGGCAGCCTGTTGTGGCTTCGCAGAAGGGCTGCTCTTCCTTCTGTGTAGGGAACGCTCCTTGGGGTTGCAGCGTTTTCAGGGTGGGCTGTGTGCCATTCCTTCCTAGAGGTGGAGCGGGGGTGGCGGAAAGGCAGTCCAGAGGCCTGGCCAGTGGCCGGCAACCGCTGGCGAGCCTAGGAGAGCCACACTCCCATCAGCTTCCCTGCCAGGAGCATCCCAACTCCCTCCGTGGTAGAAGCGTTGGCCCTACAGACGAAGTCTCGAAAGAAAGGGTCCTTCTTGATGCTCTCCTGTCTCCAGATTGCCTCTGAAGATGCGGAAAGAGAACGGGACGTGTATGAAGAGCTCCTGACACAAGCGGAGATCCAGGGCAACATCAACAAAGTTAATAGTAAGTGCAGGCCGCCGTCCTGGCCGGACTCTCCTGGCTTCCTCTGGAAAGCCATCATCATCCTCTGCTCTGCCTGGTTTTCCCTCCTCGTTACACCTGGGAATGGGGAGGGCCAGCACCCAAAGGCACACAAGCCCTTTCAGGAGAAGCGATGCCTCAAGTGATGCCTTGAACCGCCCTCGCAGACCTGGTGCCATCTGACGTGCTGGAAGGCATCTCCCACACCGACGCCCCCCTCCCTTCTCCCTCCACATGGTAGTGGAAAGCGGAGAGCAATCCTGAGCGGTTCCTTCCCCCCCTCCCCCGGCCCCTTGCAAGCGCTGCCCTGTTGAGACTTCGGCCTCTTTTCTTCCAGCACTTTCAGCCCTGTCAAAGGTGGACCTGGCTCTGAACCGAGGAGATGCGGCTGCTCTGTTCCAGGCCTTGGCATCAGCCGCTCTGGGCCTTCGGGGGCTGCAGCGTGAAAACAGCGACTGGTATTTCAAGCAGCTTCTGCGAGAGAAGCAACAGAGGCAGGAGGTACAGGAGAAAAAGGGGAGGCGTGGGTGAACGCAGGCCAGTTCGGAAGCCCCTTTAGCCTCTGTAGTTGGCCGAGCAGGGCTCTCCGTGTTCTGACCTTGAAGCAAACACAGGCTTGCCGTGACACAGAAAAATGGAATGCACAGAAAATGTGTCTCTGATCTAGAACAGAACCACGCTGGACATCCGGGCCGGTTGGCCAGGGGTGGCCACTGTTGGGCTTCTGCTCTGTGCCCTTTTTCCATTTGCTTCCTGTTGTGATTTGTGTTACTGTGGCTGTGTGTGCAGTGGCTGTGTTCAGGCCGGGCCACACCCTATCAGTGGTTCAGAGGGTTTCCCCATTACCTTCCAGACTGCTCTGGTTTGTGTTCTGGAGTGAGATCTGCAGAGCCAAGTGACACAGGTTTCAGGATGTGATTTCAGAGTTGGTGGACATTGTGAACCCCAAGTGTTCTGTTTTAGGCTGGCAGAGAAGGGTCCCTTCAGAAGGAGGAGCTGCAGGCAGGGGTGGACGTGGCCAACAGTACCGCCCAGCAGTACCAGCAAAGTAAGTCCTCCTCTGTGGCTCTGCACCTCTGAAAGCAGGTTCCAGGAACTCCCCAAGTCCCAGCAGAGGGCCTGGCTGTCCTGCCCGACACACACACACACACACACACACACACACACACACACACACACACACCGTGCCTACAGCAGAGGAGCCCCACCTGCAAGAGCCTTGACTCTTTCTTCCCCACATCCCCCCTTTGTGTTCCCAGGACTGACCGCCGTGGGGAGGATCAACGTGGCCATCCGTGGCGGCTTGGCCGAGAAGACGGTGGTGGAGCTGATGAATCCGGAGGCTCAGCTGCCCCCGGTGTACCCGTTTGCTGCCGAGCTGTACCAGAAGGAGCTGGCCACGCTCCAGCAGCAGAGCCCGGAGGTGAGGGACCCTTCTCTGTGCTTTTCTCCTGGAGGGGGGTGAACAGCCAGTCACCTCTCAAGGGGAACTCACAGCGGCTCCCGGTGCCCTGGCCAGAGGGGAGGGTTCAGGCTGCCGCCTCCGATGACCGCGGACCGCCTCCTTTTGTCTTTGCGTGGCCGGGCGTGGGGTCTTCATCTCGGTCTTTTCCCCACCCAGGGCAACCTCACGCACCCGGAGCTGTCAGTGGCCGTGGAGATGCTCTCCTCCGTCGCCCTGATCAACCGGGCCCTGGACTCTGGCGATGTGAACATGGTCTGGAAGCAGCTGAGCAGCCCCGTGACGGGCCTGACCAACGTCGAGGATGAAAATTCCCAGAGGTCTGTTCGGTCGGGCCACTCCGTGGGCGCAGACCCCTCCCCTGCTTCTCCCTCGGCTTCCTCGGCTCCTGGGAAGGAACAGCTGCGGAAGGCGAGGGAAGCGGATGCCGGAGTCCGGCGGCTCCTGCAGCGGGGCAGCCATGTCTGCTTCGTTCACCCAGAGTTTGTGCGGCTCCTGCAGAGTTGGGGGGAGGGGGGGCTGGGAGGCGGCGGAAGGTCCTCCCCATTGAAGTCCTCCGGAAGAAGGCTTGCAAACTGCCCCCTCGGTGTGAGGCCAGAGGGGGCAGTTTGGGCGGCGGGGGGGGAGAGAGGATGGTGATCCCTTGGGTGTCCTCCAGTGGCTTTACGCTGTACTTTGATGCTCGGGAAAAGCTTTCCCTTTGGGCCTGCTCGGATTCACCCCTCTCCCCCCCCCCCCCCCCGAAGGTTGTCTCACTTTCTCTTTCTGTTTTTCTTTTGTGGGTCTGCTTAAGTTTTTGTATTTAATGTGTGTCTCCAAGTGGTTCCTTAACATAGTTGCCACCTTGTCTCCTGGCTGTGGCAGGTACCTTGATGAACTGCTGAAGCTGAAGGCTCAGGTGCAGGCTGAAGGGGTTGAGTTCGTCACTTGGAATGACATACAGTCCTGTGTGGACCGCGTGAACATCGTGGTCCAGGAGGAACATGAGAGTAAGTGGCAGAAGGCAGCGGGGTGTGCGTGTGTGTGTGTACGTGTGTGTGTACGTGTGTGTGTTTCTGTCTATTGGCTAAGAGGCCTCTGGTTGCCTGTGGGTTGCACAGAGTTCTCCTAGAGCAGGCAAATGAGCAGCAGTTCCTTCTTTGTTAGAGGCTTTCATTCATAGGAAACCCTTGAGTGACATGGAATAGACCTTAAGCTGCTCCTGAACTGGGCAAGGGGGTGTTGTTATTCCCTGCCCTTTGAAGAAGAGTTGAAGTCATCAGGCAGCAGAAGGGAGCCTGGTAGTCCCTGAGACTTGGATGGTTAAGGAAAATGATCATAGAAAAGGTGTGGTGTTGGGTTAGAGCGTTAGGCCAGGACTGTGGAGACCTGGGTTCAAATCCTGCCTCAGCTGGCAAACTGGCTGGGTGAGCCTTGGCCAGTTCTGCTCTCTCAGCCTGACTTACCTCAGGGTTGTTGTGAAGATAAAAGAAGTGAGAAGGAGAGCCGTGCCTGTTGACTTGAGTGCTCGCCAGAGGAAAGGTGGCCTTGAAAGGTTACCACGTAGCAGAGGTGGTGGACCGGGTGGGGGGGGGTGCCTGTCCCTTTCAGAGCAAGGGTGAGCACAGGGTTTGTGGCCATTTGCCAGCTGGTGCCTCCCTGCCGTATCGACGTCCAGCTTCTTCTTTTTCATCATGCGTGTCCCAGGGATTGTGGCCATTGGGCTCATCAATGAGGCTTTGGATGAAGGAGATCCGAAGAAAACGCTACAGGCGCTGCAGATTCCCGCAGCAAAACTGGAAGGGGTGACCCCCAAAGTAGCACAACATTACCAAGTTGTCCTGCTTCGCACGAAGAGGGAGAAAGCGCAGGTGAGTCGACCGGCGGCCGCATTGGTCCCAGCCCAAGACGAGGCCAGGGGGAGACCTGGGGCTTTGGGGGCTGGAGTGGCTGCTGGTGGGATCACTGGTGTCCAGCGAGGGTGGCCACAGGGCGGTTGCTCAGAGCCTGAAGAACAACCAGCGGCAGGAAGGGACGTGGGCCTCCCCTCACTGCCCGGCCCGCCAACTCCACGGCTCCTTTGGCATGTCTCTGCAGAGCAGCCCATCCTGGCCGAGGACATAGTCTCTTGGTTTCCTCCGGTCAACCCTCTCCAAACATAAGGCTTCCGTAGGATGACTTTCCTGCCCTCCTCTTAGTTCCTCCTTTACCTGGTGGGAAGGAGGGTAAATTCCCGAAGGGAAGCCGGTTCACCCCCTGCCCAGGCACGTCCTGAGTGTGTGTGTGTATGTGTGTGTGTGTGTGGGGGGGAAATAGTCTCTCATGTCTGTGATGAAGACAGTGTTGCTTTGCTTTCCTTTCCTTTCAGGAAACTCGGGATGAAACAGCTGTTCTCTGGCTGGATGAAATCCAGGGTGGCATTCATCAGTCCAACAGGGACACGGAAGAAGCTCAAAAGTGTAAGCCTCCTCTTCCTCTCTTTCAGGGATGCCAGACCCTGGCCTGAGTCGTCTCTCTTTGCCGTGGAGGCTTCTGCCCTTTGAAGCCGAAGGCCTTGAGAGAGGGCCTTGCCGTTGCTTTAAACGCTCTGCGTTTTCCCCCCTGTGTCATTCTTGGCCGGCTCCAGGCGGTCCCGTACTGCAGCGCTCGGTCATATCATCCCGAAGCCGAGGCGTGGCAACTGGGCTTCTTTCTTACTAGGTTGAAACGTTTCGCTCCTCATCCGAGCAGCTTCTTCAGTCTGGATGAGGAGCAGAACGTTACAGCCTCACAAGAAAGAAGTCCCGTTGCCATGACTCGGCTTCCAGTTAACCTCACCCGGATGACTGAGAAGCTTCACCCATATTTTGTCATGAGATGTGCATTCGGGCCAGAAGGTCAAGGACCTTAGTGACATAATTGAGCCCCCTTTGAATAGTCACGGTCATTATGAGTGTGGGGTGGCCCTAGTCGTCCTTCCCTGGTGGGGTGTCGTTCCTTCCCCCCCCACACACACACACGCTTTGGGGCAGGACTTGCCAGACTGCTCTTGCGCTTTCATTCCAATCCCATCAGGACATCGTAGTGACAGGGCAGGAGCTTTCCTTCTCTGGTCCACAAGTGTTGGTGGGTACACGTGGATGTGGACACTGCAGGAGCACGAACGTGCAGAAGGCGCACAACAGGAACCCACCCAGTGGATGAGTCAGTGGGAGGTGATCACCGTTGCTCCTCAGCATGACAAAAAGGGGGTGGGCCTCTTGTGGCTTGGCACGAGTTACTGGACTGGCTGCACATTACACGCATGCACACACGCAAACGCGCGCACACACACACACACTAGCATAATCAGTGCTGAGGAGTAACAAGACCCTGCAGCCCATCAGCATCTGGAGTGGCTACTGCCTCCCCCCCCCCCAATTCTTCCTATGGGAAAGCCAAGGTGGAGTGGCAGCAGGAATCTGCTTCATCCACAGTGACCTGAAGTCACATAAAGTTTCAGCAGGGCTGGTGGCTTCTCCTCATTGTGGTGGCTGACAGGACCACGCCCCGAAGTAGCGGAAGGGTGGCAGCGGGTTCTCCCCCCCCCGTGGAAGGAGGGCAGAAGGCTTAGGGGGGTCTTGAGAAGGGAGCTGGGGGGCCTGCCAAAGAAGGAAGGGTTGTCGGGGAGAATGGATCGGGAAAAGGTGTGCAGCAGTCACAGACGCAAAAGAGACAGCATTTCTAGAGCTCCCGAGGGATTTTGCCCTAAAAGAGGTGATTGGGGAATGTGGGTGATTTCTGGATGTAATCCCATTCGATTGCATTTTGAGACTGACTCCTGGGAGTCCGCACACCGCTGAATTCAGCGAGACGTCTTCCTCAACCTTCCTGTGTAGACATGCAGACGCAGGATTGTACGTACGGTGGATGACACTTCGGTTTTGGTGCACGCTGTGACCTTTGGTCCTGTAGGGAACAGGGACTGCCTGCTCTCAGATTTCACATCTGTGTGAAGGGGCGGGTGGGGCAGGATCCGTCCGGTTTCTAGTGGAAAAGGAGGAGGAAAAGGAGCAGCCAGTTCTCCACCGCGAAGGCCGTTGTAGTGGCAGAAACCCTGGGAAGAGCTCCGAGCTAGAGCCCTTCGCTGAGGTCTTCACGAGGACTTCCTTCGTATTTTCTCCCAGTTTCTTTAGGGATTTTGGCCATTAACAAAGCAGTGGACGAGGCGGACGTTGTGAAAACCCTCGGCTTCCTGCGCTCACCGGACGTCGGCCTGTATGGGGTGACGCCCGAATGTGCAGACACGTATCAGCTGGAACTGACAGGCATCAAGAAAGCCAAGCTGGCTGCGGGTAAAGGCCGTGGGTGCCCGAAAGGGGAGCGCCAAAGCAGGGGCGAGGCCGTCTCAAGGGGCCACCGACGTCACCCACTGGGTCTCCTGGGACTTCCACAGCCCAGTGGCTTTTCTTAGAAAATGGTGTATTTTACTCCACAATCCCCTCCTGTGCCCCCGTGGCTATAATTCAGAGGCGTGAGGAGCCGTGCGGGTCCTGGAAACAGGGCCACGATTGCCCTCGGGGGCCCCTGGAGGCAGAGGATCCAAGGGGCGTTTCTGAAGTTTTTTTAAAAAGAAAAAACGATGGGTGTTGGGTGTTGAGGAAGGCCCTGCATTTCGACCTGTGGGAGAGGTGGGGGGGCGTATCCAGCAGGGCCCCCCCTTCCCCGCACGCCTTGTGGAAAGGATCTTCCAGTGGGCTCCCTTCCACGACGGAGGTTTTGTTGCCTAGGAATGGGCAGGAACCGGTGGAAAATGAGCTTAGGTGTGCCTCGGGGGCTGGTAAAGTCTCTTTGTTCTCCTACCTCCGTATGTTATTCCGATCTCGACGGGTGGCGGCTGCCGCAGCTACTCTGGACCGTCTTCTTCCTGGGGGTGGGCAAGTAGTCCAGGTGCTGAGTGGCTATGCAGAGCCCTGTCTCTACCGCCAGGCAGAGGTTGGCTGGCTCAGGCCTGCAGGCGACCCTCCTTTCTTCCAGGGGACAACGGCAGCGCGTGGGTGAAGCACTGGGTGAAGGGAGGCTACCATTACTATCATAACCTGCAGACCAAGGAGGGGAGCTGGGAGGAGCCCCCAGGATTTGTACAGAACAATGCACAGCTATCCCGGGAGGAGATCCAGGTAGGTAGAGAAAAGCATCTCTGGGATTGGGACATCACGCTTTCCCCCCACCCGCGGAAGGACAGGACAAGAAAGGGATCCTTGAAAGAACGTTTCCTGCTTTCAGAACAGTGCCTGAGCTGGCTTCCCATTACCTTTTGGAGAAAGTCATGAGACTGGGCACAGGGACTGGTGTTTTTATTTATAAATGAAATAAACCTCTCTACAGCTCTTAGAACACCGTAGCCCTTTTCAGATCAGTGCCAGTGCTAGGTTGATTTAAAATAAGGAAGAAAGTATTTACTGTGCTATCGCAAAACTGAAAGTTTTTGAATGGCATAGACTTTAGGTACAGTATGTTGCATATAATTGTTTTGTAATCCGTTTTAAATTAAGTGTATGAGACCTTTGTAGAAAAGACTAGGGGAAAGGAATAGATGACACCAATTAAAAGTCTCTGAGCAGCGGCAGGATGAGTCCAGAGGCAGAGCTCGCCACAGTAGGCGGGTACGGACGGGGTTTTGGACTTCGCCAGCCGGGGAGGTCCAGAGCACGATGGTCGCTCGGCAGAGCAGCCTTTCCTTGGGGCCTCCGTGGCCGCCCACGTGTCTGGGGTTGGCCAAGGTGCAGAAAAGGGGTCTCTAGCAGACTCATACCATCAATCTGGAAAGCTGGCTGCTTGCCGGATGTGGCGCTGCAGGACGGGCCTACCCGCAGGGCTATTGGGAGAGCCCTCCAGCCCTGCGCTGAAGTGTGGCTTGTTTGTTTTTTGTTTTCCCTCCTCTGCGCCTTCCTCCTCCTCCTCCTCCTCCTCCTCCTCCGGCCACGGGGAGCCAGGCCACCATCTCTGCCGTCACAGCCGCCTACAATCGGGAGCAGCTCTGGCTGGCCAACGAGGGCCTGATCACCCGGCTCCAGGCCCGTTGCCGTGGATACCTTGTTCGCCAGGAGTTCAGCGCCAGGATGCACTTTCTGAAGAAACAGGTTCCGGCTATCACCTGCATCCAGGTAGGTGGCCCTTGGCATGGGGGCCAGCAGGGAGGGGGAGGGGGCCGATAGGCAAACTGAGAGAGGAACTGGGTAGCAGCTGCCTGGCATGCAGGGTTTCAGAGAGAGAGAGACAACGAAGCTCAGATCCTCTTTGCTCTGCCTCCGAGCTGTCCTTGCTCTTGAAGGAGCCCCTTTGCTTTTTCTTTTAAACATGGGGTGGCCTAGCCTGTAGCAAGGGCTTCTGAGCGCTCTCCTCTCCTTTTTATCCCTCTAATAAGGAGGGGAAGGCAGGGGTCTCTCTCGTTCCACAGGGCACCCTTTTGTGGCCCACACGCAGCAGGCCGGGGACCTGATGGGGGGACCCGATCTTTGGCTGAGGCCTGTCGGGATCTTAGCGTCAGACAAGGACCTTCCCCCAACAAATTGTTTTGTTTGGCTTCAGTCTCACTGGCGAGGCTACAGGCAGCAGAAGAAGTACCAGGATCGGCTGAAGTACCTCCAGGCACACAAGGACGAGGCAGTGAAGGTAATTTGCTCTCCAGGCAAAACTATCTGGTGGAGAGCTCTTCGTTTCTCTCTGCCAGCCCATCTGTGTCTTTTTGGCAGCAACAGGGGATGGGGGGGGGAGGAGGATCAGGCCCGCCTTTTCACTGGTTATGGGTCCGCTGGAGGTGGACCAGGGAGGAGGCTCTGTGAGGGAAAAAGGGGAGGTGGCCTTGTGCCCGTCTCCCACGCCAACTCCTCTTGTTTAGCTAGTCCGGACTGGACAGTTTTTGAGTTTAAAAAGAATTATTTTAAATGACAAAATTCGATACAGAAAACATTCAAGATGGTGTTTTAATATCTTGGAATGCTCCACCTGTTCTTATCTATCTGAAAGCATAAGGGATTTCCGCATTCACTGGGAAAGAGACGATAACGGACCTCAATTGCTGTCTTCCACAGATTCAAGCAATGACCAGGATGTACCAGGCTCGAAAGCGGTACAGAGATCGGCTGCAGTACTTCCGGGATCATGTAAGAACTCTTCGGCTTATACGAAACCGCACTCTTAGTGGACTCGCCTCGCAAAGTGATTGTTCTTGTCTCTCGTCTAGATCAATGACATTGTGAAAATCCAGGCCTTCATCCGTGCCAACAAAGCTCGTGATGACTACAGAACCCTCAGTGAGTGTGGGAGGCGAGGGGTGCTTGTGTGGCTCCTGATCACCCTGAGGGGGAGTGGAAGAGCAGCCAGGAGCCAGCCGGGGGGGTGTGTGTGTGTGTCCTCTGGCCATCCTTCCTCAGCTGATGGTGCTTGGGAGGGGGGGGAGGACCGTTTTCAAGGAGCACAACCTGCCCTCGTTCTGTTCTGCCTTTGGAGCTGTGACGAGCACGCTGGAGCCTCTATTGTCTCAGGCCTCCAGGAGTCCTCACTCCTCTTCTCAAGTAGCTGCCACCAGTACAGGAGCCATCGCAGCATCCTCTGGCAACAGCTCTGCAGAGTTTCCGGCGGCCGGATGCTTCCTGAAGCCTGTCTGGAGAGAGGTCACCAGTGCCTCCTTCTTCAGTTGCCCTTACGGCCACTAGGCGAACAGCAGCTGCAAGGCCTTCTCCTCTTCCAGTCTTAGAAACGGGCCACATCCTGGGCTCCATGCTGAAGTTAAACAGTGGATGGCCCCTTCCTACCTGCCCGGTTTCTGCGGTCCTTGAGTTCCTGAGTTGTAGAAATCCCACCCCCAAGTCTTCTACCCTTCGCATTGCAACAATTGGGCAAGGAAGGGGCTGTTCCGAATATTTCTTTCATCAACAAGATCCAGAAGACACGTGCTATAAAAAGCCTGCCTTTGATTCTTTTGGGAAAAAGTGTTCTGTATCCGCAGTGTTTCTCTCTTTGCTCCACAGTCAATGCCGAAGAGCCGCCCATGGTGGTTGTTAGGAAGTTTGTCCACCTGCTGGATCAGAGTGACCAAGACTTCCAAGAGGAGCTGGATTTGATGAAGCTGCGCGAGGAGGTTGTGACCTTGATCCGCTCCAATCAGCAACTGGAGAATGATCTCAATCTCATGGACATCAAAATTGGGTTGCTGGTAAAAAACAAAATCACACTTCAGGTACAGCATATGTACGCTTTTTAGAGGGAGGCTGGCTGGGTGGGTGGGCTCCAAATCTGGGACTCGCTGCTTGGGTCACCAAGTTCAGTGAAAGCAAGCAGCCGCAGCCAACTCCCCAGGATGTTTCTTCCAACAAGAATCGGTCCGTAAGAACAGAGGGTGCCTCTAGAAATTCACAGGCATGAATCGCACTGCACAGTGAATCTCTCCTTTGCATCCTGAAAGCTGTCGAGAACCATGTTGTGTGAGATTAACATGTTTGGACAGCAGTCGGGCCTGCTGCTGCTGTTTTATTTTGGACAGGACGACATGTTGCTGGCTGTTCCATGAAAGCTTGCATTAAAATTTAAAAAGGGCCTTCTTGGCGCTGGCTCCAAGATTATGGAAAGAGCTTCCAGAGGAGCTCCGCCCGGCCCCCTCCCTGTGGACTTTTAAGAAGCAATCACGGACATTGCTTCTCAGGGAGGCTTTCCACACCAGCTCCAGCTGACCACCTTCCTCCCTCTCCCCCCCCATCCTTTTTTAAAAAAATTCCCTCCTCCTCTTCTCTTTTCCTCCATCAACTCTGAGATTAGTTGGTGCTATCTGATTTATTTTCTTTTCTTTTAGGGTTTTTGTTATCAGTTTTATTATTTTCATTTTCATTTGTGTTTTCTATTTTATGAGATTGTAATCTGCTCAGAGTAGTGCAAATACAAATTGAATGAATGTATGTATGAATGAATACAAACTGAATGAATGAATGTATGAATGAAAATATAGCAGTTCCACAATACCTTTTTTTTCTTCCGCCTTTGTGTTTCTTGTTGATATAGCTGTCAGCAAAAGCCCTGGCCTCCGCCATGCAAGGAGCCTCTTGTCCCCACAGAACGTTCAGCTGGTTTTGGCTCCGGCTGTTTCTGGCTTTGGGAGACTCCCCGGGTGTCCTTCCGTGTCTTACCTCTGGCTGTTTCAGTAGTAGATCTACAGATGCTCTTCAGCATCTTAAGAAAGGTTATAGTGAAGGCAAGCCAGGACTAGAGTAGTTTGCACGTCTGCTCAGCTCGTCTTACACTCACTTCTTAAATACTCTTTAGTCCAACCTGGGACTTGGGGAAGACGGATCAAGATAAAAGGCAGGGGCAAGTACGGATCTAACGAGACGCTGAATTCCTGCCTTTACAGGATGTTGTGTCTCACAGTAAGAAGCTGACTAAAAAGAATAAAGAGCAGCTTTCAGACATGATGATGCTAAACAAGCAAAGGGGGGGCCTGAAAGCTCTGAGCAAAGAGAAGAGGGAGAAGTTGGAGGCCTACCAGCATCTCTTCTACTTGTTGCAGGTGAGAGAGAGGAGTGACCGCCATCAGCTGGCCACGTACAGATAAATCTTGCTGTCCCCATTTTGAGAAAACCATAGATTTCTCCACGTTCTCCTCCTTGTTTTTCTGCAGACAAACCCGACGTACTTGGCAAAACTGATTTTCCAAATGCCACAGAACAAATCTACCAAGTTCATGGACTCTGTGATCTTCACACTGTACAACTATGCGTCCAATCAGAGAGAGGAGTACCTGTTGCTGCGCCTCTTCCAGACGGCTCTGCAGGAAGAGATCAAGTACGTGGCCAGGAGGCTCCCGGCCCAGCATTCCGCGTAGTCTCTCGTATGGGTTGAGGCCTGTTGGTGACCGTCTGAAGTGGAAGGCTCTCTCTCGCACTCGTCCGTCCGTCCTCTCCCCTCTGAGACGGATGCCGCCTGGCAGTTCAGGAGCACCGCCTCGGGGGAGGGATCTTTGGATAACGGTGGTGCTCAGGGTGGCTGTGACTGCAAGGAGAGCCATTTGGCCCAAGGGGGGGGGGTCCTCTAGGGACCGCGGGCCTGTGCCTGGTCGTGGCAGGGCCTTCCGACGCAGGCCTAGAGAAGAGGGGGAGCCTCAGGAGCACAGAGGCTGCTGTCAGGTTTCTTTCCAATTGGTTGTTTTTGTTTTTTGTTTTTGTTTTTTTGTCTTGCTGCTTCCAGTAGGAAATGGTTGCAAGCCCAGATCTGAATATGCTCCTTGCAGGCATTGTGAGGGGTCTCTGGTCTACAGAGCTAGTCAGCTTTCATATATGGATCCGTACCAAGTATTGCATCTGGCAGCTAACAGCTGGATTCAGTGGTGGTGTGGTTGGAAGGCTTCTCTGCCTCTGAACCCTTATCATGTCTTTGCCTTTTCACTTGTTGGCACCGCTTGAAACAATCTTTGCATTTGGCATGTGTTTATGTTATATGCTTCCTTTCTCTCAGAATTTTGGAACCTAGGCTACTTCCTGTACAGTTAAAAAGCAACAGGAAATTAAGACCACTAAATAAAACTTAAAATTTTTGAATTTTTTTAAAAAAATTCAGAATGTTTTTAGCAGAAAAATTACAAATAAAGCCATGTAAAATCACTTCCTTAAATATTTATATTAATTTACCTTCAGAGGCCCGCCTGAAGCATGGCCAGGAGAAAACAAATGCAGTCACTTTGTGCAAAGCATTTTGGAGCTTGGGAGGGACCACTGAGAAAGGTCCTCCTTCCTCACATCCCAACAAATGGGCCTCTGAAGGTGGCGGGCGATAAAAATATTCCTCTCCAGCAGATCTCAGAACCCGGCTGGAGCTTGTGTTAAGAGCACAGAGTCTTTCAGGTAGCCTGGGATGTGTGCTAATTGGCAGGGTTGGCTCAGCCAGCCCCTCCCCCCTCCCTCCAGGGAATGTCTGTTCTTTGCATGCAGATGATGACAAAGAGCCACGGTCATCTTTGAGGATTTATTGTGTAAGTAGTTTTTGCAGACACTCACCACGATGGACTGTGGCAAAAGGAAACCCAGGAACGCCTTCATGTGCTGAGTCCAGCTGGGCACGGAGGAGGAGGAGGCGGAGGCGGAGGAGGAGGAGGGCCACATGGGTGACGTTCTCCCCCCTCCCCCAGTCTGCCTGCGGTTGGGAGTCCTTCATGCCAGCCGCTCTGTTGAAACCATGGGAAAACTGTATTTGCGAAGGCTTTCACGGCTGGGATCTAATGGTTGTTGTGGGTTTTTTGGGCTCTTTGGCCGTGTTCTGGAGGTCGTTCTTCCTAATGTTGCGCCAGTCTCTGTGGCCATGGGCATCTTCAGAGGAGAGCACTTTGTGCTCCGAAGGTGCCGGCCACAGAGACTGGTGAAACATTAGGAAGAACAACCTACAGAAGACGGTCATGTGAATGGCCAAAGAGCCCGAAACACCCACAGCAACCATGGGAAAACTGTTCATGGCATGAAGTCCTTGCCTGACCTGGCCAGCATGTTACTGCCTTGATTAAACAAACGACTTCTAGAAGTTGTTTGCCACTTTGAGTTCTTTTTAAGGAGAAAGGTGGGATAAAAATATTTTAAATAAATAAATGAGTAGAACCATAGGCACAGACCGGCTGCTGCTGTTTCCTTCTGTGCTTCTGGCTTAACCATTTGCAAGCTAGGGTTATCCAGGCGTTTTATGCCCCTGGTTCCTGTTCTCATGAATCCCGAAAGAGAGCAACAGCTCTTCTGATCGGTGGCCGCCCTGCTTGTCTTCGTTGCACCTCTCTGGGGCTCCTTGGGAGACCCAAACTGGACTTCTGTTTGGATTGCAGAGAGGCGGGGGCCAGGCAGGAGGGACAAAGGGCCCCCGACCTGCTTCCTCTCTGGAACATCCCATTTCCTCTGCGGAGGGACCTTCAGGGGGTCCCTTGTTGCGCTCGGGGGGGGGGATACCTCGTCCAGAAGAAGGAACTCGGTTTGGTCTTTTAAAATCGTATGTGTGTGTGTATGTGCAGATAGATAGATAGATAGATAGATAGATAGATAGATAGATAGATAGATAGATAGATAGATAGATAGATAGATAGATAGATAGATAGATAGATAGATAGATAGATAGATAGATAGATAGATGATGTCTGTCTGTCTGTCTGTCTGTCTGTCTGTCTGTCTGTCTGTCTGTCTGTCTGTCTACAGTCAAGGTTGTGATTCTCACCTTCCAGATCAAAAGTGGATCAGCTCCACGAGATTGTGACTGGAAACCCCACAGTGATCAAAATGGTGGTGAGCTTCAACCGTGGTGCTCGTGGGCAGAACGCTTTGAGGCAGATTCTGGCCCCTGTGGTGAAGGAGATCATGGAAGACAAATCCCTCAATATCAAAACGGATCCTGTGGACATATACAAGTCATGGGTCAACCAAATGGAGTCACAGACAGGAGAGGCCAGGTGAGAACACTCTCCCCCCCCCTTTCTCTTTTTTATTGTTAATAATGTCACATGGAATAATAACAATAAAACCAACAAAGGAAAAAAGATAGGAAAAACCTTGACCGCTAAGAACAATAAACCTTGCATTGGGAACACGGGGAGCTCTTGTTTTCATGACCGATGGTCCCAGGCTTTAGGTCCCAACATGCCGAGGTATCTAAACGGATTGCATTCCCACTTCCTTTGTGTGAGTTTGTGGTAGAGGTGAAGTGGGACGTGAGCAAGGCTCTCCCCCTCCCCTCCCCGGAGATTTATGTCTCTGCTGCTTTTTCTCTGGCAGTAAGCTGCCTTACGACGTTACGCCAGAGCAAGCCCTGGCCCACGAAGAGGTGAGGACACGCCTGGATGCCTCCGTCAAGAACATGCGGGCCGTGACTGACAAGTTCCTGCTGGCCATCATCGGCTCTCTGGAGAAAATCCCGTGAGTCCCCCCAAGAGCTCCTTCTGTAGGGAGGAAGGTGGGCCCAGAAGCCTGGCCCTAGCTTCTCCGTTGCTGCTGTTTTTCTCTCTTGCCCCTCCTGCAGGTACGGGATGCGCTTCATCGCCAAAGTCCTGAAAGATTCGCTCCATGAGAAATTTCCTGACGCCAGCGAGGATGAGCTGCTGAAGGTGAGAGGCCAGGCCCTTGGCTCTCCCTCCTCGTACCCGAGGCCAGAGAGTTGCAGGAGGTGTTGCTTCTGCCCTCTGCCTGCCTGTCTCTCTTTCTGCTGGGCTGCTTCTCTCCAGGGGCTGACCGCGGTTGCCCTGTCCTCTTCCAGGGGCAGCCAAAGCCCGCTTTCCTTCCGTTCTTAGAGAGAAGATGTCAGGTAGAGACACCCAACATGTTCCGATGGGGCTGGGGCGGTGTGGAAAAGACCAAGCATCCCGCTGTCTTGGGGGCTGGCCCTGGAGGGTCCAGAGCTCCCTGTTAACCTCCCAGTCTATTATTTATAGCCAAAACCATTTGCCCAAAAGGTGGCCTTTTGGTCCCACGAACACATTGGGGGCGACCTGCCTCGATGCTTCCGGCTCCCCCAAAGGAAGAGACCTTGAACGATATCTACCTGGCACCTTCTCTTCAGGATAGATAGAGAGCCGTCTTGTGCCTCTTCCTTTAAAAGACATGTGAATGCTGTTTTCTTCTCTTTTCTAGTTCTGTGCTTTCCTACACTGAGGCCTCGCATCTAGGCTTTCTCTGCAGGTGACTTGATTTTTAAAGCATACCTTTAGGTGAAAAGCAAGCAGCCTCTCCGCTGGTAATGGTGTAGCAGTAGTGGGATGATGCACGAGGGGAAGGGAGGCTTTGCTGGGAGAGCTTCTGTGTCAAAGCCTTTCTTGTTGGGAGCCAGCGGGGCGGAGGGGGGGGCAGCAGGGGTCACCTGCCGTTCTGGCTTGAAATTCCTCCTCCTTCCACTGTCCACATCTTCAGGCCTGTCTCTCTGCAGGCAACTGTTTCAGTGAAGAAGAAACAAGTAGCTCAGGTTGTGGACGGTGTGTGTCTGTCTTTGGCCCCTGCTCTTCTCCCTTAGCGGGTGTCCTGCTTCAGGCTGCTTGGCAAAAGAGGAGCTGGTTTGGAAAGAAGAGCTGCCACCCCGACCACTTTCCCCTTTGCCATTTCTGACTTCACAGGACATGGGGCCAAATTCTGCAGGTGGCAAGGCTCATGGTGGCAACGTCACACTGCGACGTTGCTGGAACCAGTTGTATTGGCTCTTGCCTTTCCACTGGACCATTTCAGCGATGTGGAGAGGGGGGATTTGCTGCTTGGGTTATTCATTGTGTCCGTAATAAAAGGCTCACAGTGTTTAACTCATTGGTCTTAAAAGTGAGGAAAACAGATGCAGAACATCTACAAAAATTTCAGCTTTATTTTTAAATGCCCATTGCTTCCTTTCTGCTTCTCTGTTCAGCTGAGTAAACCTGGAACTGATGTGAGGGAGAGGCGTAGTGCCTGTTAGTCGCATCTTTTCCTACTTGTGGCAGACTTAAGTCTCTGTCTCTCTCACACTCACACTCACAGAGAGAGAGAGAGAGAGAGCTGTGTTGGTGTCTTTGGTCTTTCTGTAGATTGTCGGCAACCTTCTATATTATCGCTACATGAACCCGGCCATTGTGGCTCCCGACGCCTTCGACATCATCGATCTGTCAGCTGGAGGGCAACTGACCACGGACCAGCGGCGAAACCTTGGCTCCATCGCAAAAATGTTGCAACATGCCGCATCCAATAAAATGTTTCTGGGTGACAATGCACATCTTGGGATTATAAATGAATACCTTTCTCAGTCCTATCAGAAATTCAGGTAAAGAATCCCTGGCGGCAGGTGGGACTTAATGGATGTCTTGTGAATTGGGGGGGGGGGCTGACGAGGGGCCAGGGAAGCCAGAGGAAGTGCAGCGACGTGCCCTTGGTGCCCGCCGCTCTGTGCTGGGGCTCTCTTTCGGCTCCCACAAAATCCCATCAGCTTCTCGAGAGACGCTCCTCTGGATGCCCGGATGCCCTGCTGTGTTTCGGGGCAGCTTGGGTGATCTGCACATGCGCAATGCAGTGACTGCACATTCCAGGATACAGTATGCTACCGTAGCATAAAACCAAAGAAAAAAGAGTGGGAGAAAAAAATATTATGAATAGAGCATTTCTTCTATTGCCCTGTTGGTTTGGCATTTTGCTACAATACAAGAAGGGTTGAGTTTTGATAGTGGCGTGGCATCACAGGATTTCAGTGATGTACAGCATAAGTAGCTGGCCATACTTTCAGTGGTGCCTAAATTTCCACTTAAGTTGTTTTCTTAGTGTCTTTTATAGTGAAGAACAAGTTAAGGTTTTGCGCCCACGTCCAAGTCCAGCCACAGCAAGGCAGCGGCTGGGGGGTGGGGGGTGGGGGCGCGAAATCACTGGGTTGCTGGAGTGTTTGCTTGCCGAAGGAGGCCAATGATCTTTTGTTTTTCTGAAGGCGCTTTTTCCAAGCTGCATGTGAGGTCCCAGAGCTTCAGGATAAGTTCAATGTGGATGAGTACTCTGATTTAGTGACTCTGACGAAGCCGGTGATCTATATTTCCATTGGAGAAATCATCAATACGCACACAGTAAGTCTCCTGCCCGTTGGAGTGTAACCAAAGCCGTGAGTCTCCAATGGGGGCTCTCACAGAAACAAGGCAAGGAAACGGCACTGCATTACAAAAGTGTCTTTCCAAATTAGAGGGGAACCCAGATGCAGTACCATCTAAACCAGGCCTCTTTGGTCTCTTCAAACAGCTGCTTCTGGATCATCAAGATGCAATTGCACCTGAACACAATGACCCTCTTCATGAACTTCTGGATGACCTTGGCGAAGTTCCCACCATTGAATCTCTGATAGGTAAGCTTTTCTTTAGGTCAGCCTAAAGGGTTGGCCCTTTTAATGAATGCTCCCATGTTAGCCACAGGGAGTCCAGCCCGTGTCTCATTTTCAGTGAGAGAGGCATTTTTCAATTTCTGTTCAAAGTTGAAGACCTTTGCTTTTCCTTACACGGAGAAGGAGAGCAGTGCCAGTTGGCCGTTCTCTGTCCTGGATTTCCCTTTCCCCATTCAGTCATTTCATTCCAGGCTGGTGTGACTCTTGTGAGGGTGCTGCTCTCATGGGCCTGGCTGAGGCTTGGGGGTAGTTCCTGTTTGGGCCAGAGGGCTTGTGGGTTTGTGGGGAGGGGGCAATGACACAGTCGTTTGGGATTGGGACATCAATTTGACCGCATTTGATCTTTAAGCTCCTGCTGCTCTAAATGTGTTCATATTCTGTCCTTTTTTTAGACACCTAGTATATTGAGAATTTGGTTACATATATACTAAAATATATATGCAGATCATTAATTGGCATTCAGTGGACTTTCCTCATGGATTTTTCTTCCTCTAAAGAATAAGATGAAACTTTCCAGATAAGAAATTTGAAGATGCAAAAAATGACTTTTAGTAAAAACAACTCATGGCAGATCTAGAGAAAGGAAGTGAACCCTTCTGTTCTTTCTCTGTCTGTTTTTGTCCCAGGTGAAGGAACTGGCAGCATGAATGATCCCAGTAAGGAGATGCTGGCCAAGACAGAGGTTTCCCTCACACTGACGAATAAGTTTGATGTTCCCATGGATGAGAATGCTGAAATGGATGCCAAAACCATCCTGCTGAAGTAAGTGGGGCTCAGTTCAAGGCGCCTCCCTCTCTGGAGGCTTGGCCCTCTCCCGCTTGGTCCTGCACCGGCTCTGTCTGTGACCTCGCGGCGTCCATGGTGTTCGAGGCGTGGTGAGACCGTAGGAAGACACCGTACTTGCAGAGGGCCCAACAGGGGGCATTGTGTTTTTTGTGATCGCGGTTGGGGACAGGTTTACGACCGGTAACCTTTTCCCTTAAAGGAAGACCGGAACAATGGCCTGGGACACCTGCCTTCAGCCACACAATGGTCTAGTGCTCAGATATGTTTGTTCAGTTTCAAGTACAGGAAAAAAACTGGGCTTCATAATAAGATAAGTGTTTTTAATCCTTAAAAAAACAAGTAAAAAGACATGTAGGACACATTTAAAATTCAGATAAAATATAAGGAAGACTACATAAAGAACCACTGGATAGTGTGCCTGAACTCAGATCCAGCAATCCAGAGGCCAACAGACATGGATTGCACCAATCTCTTAAAAGCCGACGTGAATTTACTTCCCAAAGTCTAGGAAGAGTTGTATTCACAATATATAAGCCGCTGTTTTCACCGCTGTGCTGCACAGATGGATTGTCAAATAAAGTTTAGGAAAAAGGTTTGACTTGCTGACTTGCAGTTACGATTAGTTGTGCTGCAAAAGACACTGGTGGGGCCAGTGTCTGTCAATTTGAGGGGAAAGCCCATAAAATTGATTTCTTGATGGTGCCAAGTCCAGAGAATGTTAGAGAGGATGTTAACATCTAGGTCCTTACAGGTAGTTGACCAGTCAGTCCTGTAGTAGGAAAAACTGGGGAAATGGAACAATCTGATATAGCTAAAACATACATTTAAGAAACCATCAAGAAATAAAGGCCACTATTTTTTAAAAAATTATTAATACATTTTGCATCACATCTTCCTCCAAAGAGCAGAGAACAAGGTATATGCCTTTCCTTCTTCCTAACAACACTTTATCACACTATTCAGTTTTTTAAAAAGGCTAAGGGTACAACAAATCAAGACACTGAAAACAGCAGAAACATAAAAGCCCTCAATAAAGGCAACGTGACAACATCCGCCGTGAAAATGCCCCATGGCACGACTGGCCAAGTCAAAGAACCAGATTTTAAAACTTGCATTATCTTGACCCTAAGTGAATTTATCCCAATATTGCCAGCCAGAGGAGATGCCCGGGCCAAGGTTTGAACCTCCTCACTGGCAGCCAGACCTGCCCAGGGGTTCCCCCCCCTTGTCCTTCCCTTGCGTTTGATTGCCGAGTGAATAACGCCGTCTTACCCCGCTTACTTTTGAAAATGCCCGATGGTGAGTGGGTTTAGTCCTGGGTGCCCGTAGCTTTGCTTTCTAGACTGTTGGGGTGGTGAGCCAAGAAGCCTGGCTGCTCCCACTGAGCGTTTATTTCCTCTGGTCGTGCGGGAGGCGAGTCGAGAGGGTGGGTCACGTCTCATCTCTTGTTGCTTTTCAGCACAAAGCGCTTGATTGTGGATGTCATTCGCTTCCAGCCGGGAGAGGCGCTAGGTGAGATTTTGGAGACCCCGGCCAGCACTGAGCAGGTAGGGTAGGACGATTGTCTCTTTGCCTCTGCTGCCCCCTTCCTTTTGGCTTCTGTTGGCATGTGGGGCTGGGGTGGCCCCAGTGAAGGCGGTAGCCCTGCAGGCCGCTAATTGGGCCTCATTGGATGTGATTTAAGGCGTCCTTTTGGCCCCCCCCCCCCGGCCTAGGAAGCTGAGCACCAGAGAGCCATGCAGAGGCGAGCGATTCGGGACGCCAGAACTCCTGACAAAATGAAGACCTCTAAAGCGCTCAAGGAGGACAGCAACCTGAGCCTCCAGGAGAAGAAGGAGAAGATCAGGTCAGGGCTGAAGAAGCTCACAGAACTGGGCCTTGTCAACCCGAAGCACGGATACCAGGAGTTGATCAATGATGTGGCAAAGGTGGGTGCCAAGAAAAGTTGGCTGTGTGCTTGCAAACTCCCTCAGGTTTGCTGAGACCGGGGGTGCGAGAGGCTCGTGCTTCCACGTCTGGGTGCTGAGGGGCAGGTGTGGGAGGCAAAAGACATCCGTGTCCCACGTGCCACACCCCTCCTCCCAGAACACGGTGGCTGCCTCCTCTTGCACCTGACGGCTGGGCCTTGTCTCTGCTGGGCCTCTCCTTGTCGGACCTTCATGTCAGCGTGAGGCTTGCTTTTTTCCCCCCCTCCTTGCCTGATTCAGGACATACGGAATCAGCGCCGATATCGCCAAAGGAGAAAAGCAGAACTGGTGAAGCTGCAACAGACGTACAATGCGCTCAACTCTAAGGCTACGTTTTACGAAGAGCAAGTGGATTACTACAAGAGCTACATAAAAACCTGCTTGGATAACTTGGCCAGCAAGGGCAAGTGAGTTGGTCCTCACAGGGGAACTGACCTTGGCGCCCCTCCCCATGAGCAAGGGCCCAAGGAGGACTGAGAATAGCCAGCCCGTCAGAGAAGGAATGAGGCGGGCTCTTAGGCAGAGCACCTAAGAGGCAGGAGGGGGCCTTTATCCTCCCCATTGGGTTCTGTGATGTCCCGAGCCCTGCCACTGTTTTGGCCCAACGCTGGGGAACGGAGGGACCCGGGAGCCCCTGACAAACGGGGAGGGGTCCCGTGGGTGTTGCTGCAGTTTCCTCTTCAGCAAAGGGCCCTGTGTTAATTTTCTTCAGGGTCTCCAAGAAGCCACGGGAAATGAAAGGAAAGAAAAGTAAGAAGATTTTCCTGAAATACACAGCAGCCCGACTCCATGAGAAGGGAGTCCTGCTTGAGATTGAGGACCTGCAAGTTGGCCAGTGAGTATTGCATTTCCCAAAGGAGGAAGGAGAAACGTGCCAAGAGGCAGTGGGTCTCGTTCCATGGCAAAGTGGTAGACAAAGCATGATGAGAAACATTTTGAAGAAGCCATTCATGCCACTCCTTTGGGTAACCCTTGTGGCACCCAGAACTCCTTGGAGGAAGAGCCACGTGGTAATGTAGGAAAACGTTAAACATCCGATGGTGCTGGGATGTGGATCCCGGCAAGACTGGAGGGCAACAGGGTTTATCCCCAGACCAGAATGGTGCTCTCTGCTGCGTGGGTGTCTCCTGTGTGGCACTTTCGAGGGCAGTGTGGGGATGGTTGCAGCTGGTTGGTGTTCGCTGATTCCTGGTGCCATTCTGAGGTGTCTTCGGCTCGCTGGCTCAGGCCCCAGAGACCAGAGTGAGGCTCTGGGGTCATTCTGTGCAGAAGGATCAGCTTTTTTTTGGGGGGGGGAATAGGGTTTTTTCATTCCAGCCCTTCTACTCTGCAGTCTCCAGTTAATGTTGTGCTTTGTTGCATCTTGCTTTGAACATTGGGATGGATTTTACCGTGAAAAGACCTTTCTGGGGTAAAAACCCTGTAAGAGCTTTTCCCAGGCCTAAAATTGGGCAGCCTGGGACGTCTCTGGCCTCTCTGACACGGCCGTCTTCTCCTCTTCCAGGAGGGGAAGCGGTCAACCAAGTTATCGCTTGGGGCGTTGTATGAAGTGGTTGCGCCCCTCCCCAAGGGCCATCCAGCACATGCCTCTGAATGTGGTTGGGAAACTACCCAGAGGGCGGACGGTTGCCTTCCAGCCCTGCTCATAATACAGGTTTCCTAGAATTGACAGGAGTGAGAAGGGATAATGGGGATAATGATAAAGGACCGGATCGAAAGAGCCAGTTAAGCCATCCTAGAGCTTTTAAAGTCATGTGTTCTCATTGCTCTTTATAGTGTTTGAAAAGTACTTTCTGATACAGATGGAAAAATTATTTTGCAGCAACTAAAAATATTCTTTGAATCTAAATTACTAAAATGACTAGAAAATGATTATGACTTTGAAAACTTGCAGGAGAACTAGCCAATATGTAAGGCAGAATGTTAGGGGAAGAAAATCTTACTCTGGTGGTAAGATGAAAGCAGGCAGAAGACTTTTCTTGTTCTGTTTGTTAGAATTAACGAGAGCAGTATTGATTTTGGGTTAAGTGGGGAAGGTGCAGGCTTTAAGTTTAAGAAGCCCACAAATCTGGGGTGAATTATGTTGGAGAAATGGCATTGGACGGCTGTCTCTGGCCAGCCCTCTTCCTGCTCCTTGCCATCTCATCTTCATTTGAATGGCCTTCACTTTGGCCCTAAATATTGACTCGTATTTCATTGTCTAATGTTGCACTGACACTTTGATTTAAGCCAGCAGATAAAAATATCATGTTTTTTTTCTTGCCCCAACCATACAGATTTAAAAATGTGATATTTGAAATTGGCCCAACCGAAGAAGTTGGTGACTTTGAAGTAAAAGCAAAGTTCATGGGTGTCCAGATGGAGACGTTCATGCTGCATTATCAGGTATGAATCCTAGGTATATGGATGTTCGGCATGCTCAAAATCCCCGAGTATCTTAAAAGTTCATGAGCCAGCCAGTTTCCTGAGGATAAGCAGGCCTGATGAGTGCCTAGGAGAGATTATGCTGAAGGAGAGGCAACCAGCAAATGCAACAAATTAAATATCGTGCCTAAACTTCTTGTCATTCATATGGAGGATGGCACTTGGTCTTCCAGATATTTCTTCCCATGATCAACAGGTGGGACAGCTGCCATTATAATAGCTTGAAAGTTTCATACTTTGCATCACAGGTTGATAGCATGTTTCACCCTAAAAATTATTGTGCAAGGGTTCTCCTAAGGCTTCATAAAGTGACTCCTCAGCTTTATTTTTTTTTTAATTTATATGCCGCCCACTCTACCCAAAACTCTCTGGGCGGCTTACAACAATTAGCTTTGTTTGCTGCAACCAATCCCTTCGCCTTCCTTGTCCTGTAGAAAGCAGCTGCTGAATCACATGGTTTCAATCTGTCCGTTTTGAACTGATCGCAAGTCCAGATTAGGCAGGCCATGTAAAAACTACAGCCTGCAACTCATAATGCTGATCGGCTACATTTTTTTCAGGGTTGGTCATTTCTTTATGTCCCAGCAACAGACAGGGATGGGATGGGAAACCTGCATGAAAATTTAACCCCAGAGTTGGGTTTGGGGAGTGGCACAGAACTTGTATTTGCAGATTTATTTTGCTGCACACCGATAGCCTAAAAGGGCCCACTAGATCTGGGTTAAAAGAAATGGGCTGGATGAAGCCGTTGTCCAAGATTGTCCACTCCCCCACTAAATGAAGTCAATGCTATTTTGGAAAATCTTTGCTCAGATGGCACCAAGGGTTCACCCTCACTCATGCTTGGCAAGGAGCAGCTTGAGAATTTAGTCAATTAATTCTCCCTTTTTCTTGTCACCCCTCACCTCCCTCTGATGCAGGATCTGTTACAACTACAGTATGAAGGTGTGGCTGTCATGAAGCTGTTTGATCGAGCAAAAGTCAATGTTAATCTCCTAATTTTTCTCCTGAACAAGAAGTTTTATGGGAAGTAACTCCCCTTCACCCGGGAGTCTTTGTAAAGGGATCATGGTGTAGCTTTCTCAAAGCTTTTTCCACCTAGTGGATTAACTGTTAAGCCTAGTCCTCCACCACAGCTCTCCGTGTCAAGTGGAGTCTTCAACTGTATGCATCCCATTCTGTTGCTATGCACAGCTCCTTTCTGTTGTTTCACATGTACTTTTCTAGTAGTACCGTGAATTAAATCTTTATTAGACTATCTTGGTTTGGAGTATCTTCTTGAAAAAAATTACAGAGCTGTACACTGAGTTGTCATTCTATTCCATCTCCTGTGGCACTTTTAGAATGTCTGTGATGTAACAGATTCTTAGCATATAGAACAGGAACTTCTGTGAAACGGAAGTAGGGCTGTTTGCATGGTGGCACCGTGGAAGGCTGGGCAACCCTCTTAACTAGACGGTAACGCTTGCAACTTTACTTCAGGGGCAGGTTTTGTGTTTCTACTGCCCTTTTCATGCCTCCTTTGTGTGTGGAAAGACATGAAGACCATGCCAGAGCTGAGTTACCTGTAGAATGGACTGGCATCGAAGAAGTGGAGAGAAAACATTTAAATATATACTTAGTGTAAAATCTAAGCTAAATGGTGAAAATATACTAACATCTCTGATTTATGGTGGTAGCATTATGAGTGTGGTTAATAAAGTTGTAGCGTTGCCACCTCTTCAGAATGCTCTTGTGTCTCCCAAGCTTACTGCCCCCCCCCCGTTTCCCATCCTGCCACCCCCTGAGTAGGCCCCTGAGTAGAAGTTCTGGTTTTGCTTTGAAAACTTTACCCTTTCACCAGGCCTTCCAAGTAAAAGGGGTGTGAACAAAGGAGAGGTTCTAAAGGAGGGAGCTCACGGGGCTGTGGCCTGTGGACTCTTCTGCATCCATTTGCTGCGCCATTGGCTGGAAGTGCCTTTTCCCCACCTTTGCCAGGGGCCTCTGAATGGTCACCACCTGTCGTTCTCCAAAGGGTGTTACTAATAAAAAGCAGGTGAAATAGACAAGCACCGGATGTCCAATGAATAGCAGGTTGGGAGACCAATCAGGAAAAAAAGGCACGAGGAGGATTCCTCCTCCCTAGTTCCTTCGAGAGTGAGGCGCCCTTCCTCCTCCTCCTTCTCCTCCTCCTCGGTCCATCTCGGGATCTGCCCCCAAGCAGGAGCCCTTGTCTTTTATCCCCACGGGGGGGGAGGGGGGGGGGGGGGGTGAATTGGTTAGGGTCCTCCGGCATGAGGCTGACAGCAGAGGGAGCTGAGAAGTGGCAGGGCAGGCTAGTAGAGGAACGGTCTAGCACACTTTGACTCAGAGGGCCTTTCATGCTGATATTCTAGGCTTCAGAAATCATAGGGCAGGGCCTCCAGGCCCGCCTCTTCCTGCAAGTCACCATGGAGCTGTTCTAGCGTTCGGACATCAGTGGGCAGGTCCTCCGGGCCTGCCTCTTCCTGCAAGTGGCCATGGGGACCTTCTAGCCCCTTGAAATCAGAGAGCAGGTCCTCCGGGCCCGCCTTTTCCTGTCTTGTTGCCATGGCGACACCAGGAGGCTAAAGGTTGGTACGTTCGGCTTTTCTTCCCCGCTGTGTCTCCCGATTTTTTGCCCGGCCTGCCCCTGCGGCTCCAGAGGCTGTTCCGGCTGCCCACTGGTGGGAGATCCGGCCTGCACAGGACACTGCGCCGCCCGGACTCGGACGGCGGCTGGGTAAGGAGGCCCGTGGGGGAGGGTGGGGTGACTGCTGGGACCCTTCTCCCCCACCCCATGATGGGCTTTGTAGTCCTTCAGGAGATGAATCTGATACAAGGTGAGAAAGGCAGTCCTCGGGATTTTTCACATCTCTGGGCATGTGCACAGTTACAGTTTGTATCCTCCCCATGAGGCTGGCCCTTAAGGAAAGGATTAAAGGGGGTCTGGGTGGATTTCGCTCCCTCCCTCTGCCTCCAAACCCCATAGGAAATTCAGGGCGGGACTCGGCCTTGTACTCGTCTCCCTCACTTTTCACTGCATTAAATTATTTGAAGTTCTTCATGGTTGTTTCTTTCATTTATTTTTTATGTATGCATGTAAGTATGCGTGCATGCATGTCTGTATTTATGTGTGCTTGTGTGTGTGTGTGTGTTATTTATTTATTTATTTGCTTATTGATTTATGTGATTTATATGGCGCCCATCTGTCAGCGAAGGCCTCTCTGGCCAGTTTATTTGCGTTGTGATTTTTTTATTCTACCCTGGAGAGGAGAGGGAGCTGTCTTTTTCTTCCCACCATCAAGGGGACCTGGGTTTGTGGCTGATTTCTACTGCTTTTAATTCCACCCCCTGGTCCCGCTTTTCTCCCCCTTTTCACAGCCGCTTGTACTTGTCATTTGGAATAACTGGATTTTCCCTTCCGAACCAGGTGTCGTTCTTTCAGTGAGCTCGTTCACGCGGATGCAGAGCTTCATCATTCATTTGCGCCACCCTGCAACCTTGAGGAACGACCGCATCCAGAAAGGTCGGCGGGTAAGTGTGCAGGGGGCCGGCGGGATGGTAGGCATACCATGTGGGTCTGTCACGAGCCCCTCTGCCCCGTGACGGCCCTTGTAGTTGTTAACAGAGAAGAAAGGTGTGGAATAACGATTTAAAAAACTGCTCTGGGTAATTTTAACGCCCTTGGGCATGCACAGAGTTGCAGTTTTCAAA